TAGGTTTAACTCTTAGTTAAAAAAAAAAAAAAAAAACCTAACAAAAGCAATAGGCATATCTAGCATAAAAGAGAAAGAAGGGCTTGATGCATAGCATTCGGTTCAAATTCCACCCCTCTTAGTGTTAGCTATGGAACATTGGACCTTAGGGGTTTATTTTGTGGTTGTTGTTTTGAGCCTGTTTTCTCATTTGTAAATGAAGGATTTCATTCAGCATACATGTCTTCATAGATTGAATGTGATTACATAAATATAGTCCAGCAAAGTGAGTGAAAAAGCATAATTGGTGATACTTATTATTTACAATATAATAAAAACTGAACTTTTAAATTTTAAGACTTTGCATCTTAATTTTAAACATTGCTGCTTATATGTTAATGAATATTGTGTTCTTAACATGTCCTGGTTATAATGCCTTCATAAATCTGGGTTTGAAATTTATTATAGAAATCACTTGCAGATTACTTTTTCTGGTTCTAAATATTATCATCTGTGAATTGGAAAAAAAATTAATATCTACCTAAGCACTGTTCCTGCATATGACAAACACTCAAAAATTTTAAGTAGTATTCATTTAAGTATTATTCATTCCTTTATTTTTTTAAAAATTCAGTGTTTTGATACATTTATATGTTTATTATAATAGTTAAACTTTTAATTCTTTTTCATCTTGCTTTGATGATGCATGTACTTTAATAACATAAGTAGATTTAAAATTCACATTAATGCAAACACTTAAATGTATTTAACATTGTCACATTTGTGCCCACCTCCTTGTGTGTTTTATGAAAACTAGGATTTGTATTTAAATTGTAGGGTAAAATTTTGTCTCATTTTTTGATCTGCTTGTTTCAACTGTATTCAAAACTAAATCAGTGGTCATTGAAGAAAGAAGGTTCTATATATTTTGTAATAATATTCTTTCTTCAATAGCATATATGTTTCAGCAGTCACCATTTAATGAAGTGTTGCTGATCTCTCAAATGAGAGGGTGTGTTCAAATTTAGGTAAAACTTTCCATTTGGCTTCCAATTTCATGTTCAAGACACTATAAACATATAACTTTCTTTATGATTCTTAAAACTTGTCTCCATCGATTCAGAAATAAGGTAAGGTTTTAAAGTATTTTAAAGTCATAAGTTAACTTTTTTTTCATTTTTTGGTATTACTAAATTTTTTTTTTCAAGGATGGATGAAAAGGTCAGATCATATTCTACTTTATACTTTGCCTCAATTAATAAAAATGTTCTGACAATTTTGGGTCAGAAATATCTGCCAAAAACATTCTCTTAACTCCCTATGGTTCTTTACCATCTCCCACAAATGAACTGAATTATTTACTTAGTAAATTAATATTTGGGGATTCTCTTAGCCCATTCGGGTTGCTGTAACAAAATACCGCAGGCTAGGTAGTTCATAAACAACAGAAATTTATTTCTCATAATTCTGGAATTTAAAAAGTCCAAGTTCAAGACACCAGCTTGCTTGTGTCTGGTGATAATCTACTTTCTGGTTCATCGCCATTTCCTTCTGGTTGTGTCCTCAGTGGTAGAAGGTCTACATGCTTTGAGAGGTCTCTTTTATAAGAGCATTAATCCCATTCATAAAGGATCCACCTTCATGATCTAAGCACCTCTAAACACCCACCTTCCTTATCTTTGAAGGTTAGAATTTCAACATATGAATTCTGGGAGGGCACAAACATTTAGGACCACAGCCGGGAGCACCTACTTATGTTTAGAGATGTAGTGACGTACAAGATGAGTGCCATCTCTGCTTTCATGGAACTTACACTTTCTCTTCTGTTGCATTTGGCAGTTATCTGTCTTTCAGCCCTCACCTTGTCCTCCTCCCATACTATCTTCTTTTATATATATATATTTATTGATTTTAGAAAGGAAGGGAGGGGGAAAGAAACATCAATGATGAGAGAGAATCATTGATCGGCTGCCTCCTGTACATGCCCTACTCGGGGGCAAGCTTTCAAACCTGACCAGGAATTAAAATGTAGCCTCCTGGTTCATAGGTCAACACTCAACCACTGAGCTACTGCAGTCTGGCATCAATACTATTCTTTACCCGGGATAAGAGCCTTTTTTCTGCCAGTGACCATTTGGATATTTAGAGCATCATTCATGGGCCATACAAAATTATCATCTTAAAAATTAGCCTGCTACTCTGTTTCCTCGAAAATAAGACTGTGTCTTATATTAATTTTTGCTTCCAAAGATGTGCTAGGTCTTATTTTCAGGGGATGTCTTATTTTTTGCATGAAGAAGAATATGGTACACAGTTATTGTTAAATGAAAATAAAGGAAATTTATTACCTGTATATGGTAGAGTAGTACGGTAGTTGTCCACACAAACCAGACAAACTATGAATCCTACAGTATCAAGAATTTACTCATTTATTCAATGACAATCATGTCATCATCTTCTGGAACATCATCATAACAATCCAATTCCTGAATTTCCTGGTGAATTTCTTGTAACTCCATTACTTTCAGAATCAGTGGACCAAATCTCTCATGTTTAGCCTGGGGGGCCTTATTTTTGGGGGATGCCTTATATTTCACTCAGGAAACCTGTAAATAGGTCTTATTTTCGGAGGATGTCTTATTTTTGGGGAAACACGGTATATTGGTCAAACATTTAATTACTTCACTCCTAATTCCTTGGCAGTGCCAGACCAAATGATTTTGTGGGCCTTTGCAGCTTGAGGGCTTGACATTCTCTACCCCTGTTCTATATCATCTCTACTCATTCTGTTTCTTAAAACCCTTAAATGGTCTTCTTTGGACCAATATTATATTCCAGTTTCTTTACCATTTATAAGGTCTTCATGATATGGTTCCTCACAAACCTCATGATGATAAAATACTTGCCTTTCTTTGAGGCCTATATTCTTTAAGACTTGTTCAGAAGTTTGTTGCCATCCCCATCTTCCTTTGGCTGGGTTAGATTATCCTTTGAACACCCACAACACTGTATAGATCTCTCCTATAGTAGTCATGGTATTCCAAATATTAGTCTTCCTTCATTTGACCATGAGCAAATGAATGAAACCCCTAAAAAGATTCATTTTGAATAATGCATGCTTCTTACAATATCTAAGAGAATATCTATACTTCAGTCTTTTATCACATATTTATTAGCCATGGATCTAGGACTCTATGAATATTAGATAGTAAGTAATCAATACATGTATCCTCTACCATTACAGTTAATCCTCTGAGAGAAAATTAAAATAATCAGAACTTTCTGGTAATTATTTGGACAATGATGTTTTGTGTAGGTATGGGTATTAAAAATGTGTTCTTTGTTTTTTGAGCCATAGGAAGCTTATCTAGGTTCTGATTCTTGATTGGGTGTGTATTTCTAGTTGTGCATATGTGCTCTGGAGCTTCTTCAGTCAGTCCCCAAATCAAGTCGTCATAGTCTTGATGAACGTGACATTCACTTTGAAATGATTTCTACATATTTATTGGGCAGTTCCTGTAGTTTCTGGTGATGAATCATAGGAAAGAATCAGTGGGAAATAAGGTTTTTATTCTGGTATCCTTCCCTTTCAGTTTTTATTTTCCCTGGACAAATTTTAATGAACATAAGACTTTTGTGGGTTTTGTAGTGACTTATATGTTGACATTTTAAGAAAAGTATTTTTTTAAAACTAATTACTGTTAGAAACATTTCTTCACCCTTTCATCTCATGGTGCTGAATTCCATGTAGTGGGCATAGAAAATGTTACAAATAGGATCATCTCTTTGTTAATCAGTTATATCTCACATTGTATAAATGTGCACATAAAATGTAAATGAGATAACATTTAATCAAGCAAATAATTGTTTTCCCACATTATAAAAATGTCTGGACTTTAAATTTATAGGAAAAGACAGATTTTTAATGTGTAGGGGTTTTCTTTGTGCTTGTTTTAAGCATTCTTCTAATCAGAGGAGAAAAGATTTAGTCATGTGCTACAAAGACAATGCTGTATCGTTAAAATTCAAAGCAGACTCTTAAGTGATGGCACTTGTACTGCAGTTCATACCCATGGTGTATATTCAGTATACTTATGTACACTTCCAAGCTATGCATCCAAATTTGAAATGCCTTAGATTCTATAATTACATAAATAGATTGTGGCAATATAGACACCAGAGTATATGACAGTGGACTTGGAAATGTGTGTTGTTAATGTTTCAGATTAACTAAAGGATTTTTTAAATTGAATCTAGTTTACGCATACAATATACCATTAAGACCATAAAAATAATCAAACATATGTGACTGTGATTGCAGTTAAATTGTGAAAGGCAGTGAATTTGTGCTTTACCTTATTTTAGAAAATGTATTGCACTCTATTGTATAGACATGGATAGCATGTCCTTGAAGTAAAAGTTATTTTCATTCTTTAACTTTTGTGGGTTAGAAACCACAAAGTTGAAATACAGTCTGCAAAAATATACTGCAAATACAGATGAGAAACCTGTGAGCAATGCAGAAACTTCATTAATATGCTGAGAAATAAAACATACAGCCACTGGATTGAGAAAAATGAAAATTAATGTATGAATGTTTTAGCTAACACAATGCTTTGCTCCCAGAATCCACTGTTTATTATTGTGCGCTTTAGTGAGAGACAGAAACCGTATCGATTGAAAAACATTTCTTAGTGAATTGGGAACAGTATGGCTTTCTAGTTCCTAAGTGGGAAGCCTGGTTCTTTGGTTTCTTTGTTCCTTATTGAGCTAGTCCTGGGCTATTTTAGCTGAACATTTTATATACTAATGGAGTCTTGGGAAGTGCCTTTGGCAGCTGTTCATGGGAAAATAATGAAATACACTATTTAGTACTGCATGCTGCTGCTGTAAAATGTGGGGAGTATTTTATAGAGATCTCGGTGAGCAGAGCTGTATCCACTTTAAGTTTAACAAGTGTGTGAACCTGAACAAGGAAGTTGTATTTTCATATGAGAATAACTAGAACTCTTTTCTTACAGGTAAAGAAAACCTGCACAGAATCAGATGTTTCAGAACCTCAGAACTCCAGGTACAGTAAAATGGAGCCCAAGCCTTTCTAAGAAAATTGATTTTCCAGATATAACTGTGATTTGAAACACTGAGTTTCTTAAAGAATTTATCTGTCTGAAAATTGATGGGCTAGGGCAAACTGCGGCTCTCGAGCCACATGCAGCTCTTTGGCCCCTTGAGTGTGGCTCTTCCACAAAGAACCACATGCAGGCGCACACATACAATGCTATTTAAACTTCATGACCCATGCACAGAAGTTGGTTTCCGGCTCTCAAAAGAAATTTCAATCATTGTACTGTTGATATTTGGCTCTGTTGACTAATGAGTTTGCCAACCACTGGGCTAGGGTACCATCCTATATAATAAAAGCCTAATATGCAAATCGACCGAAGAGCAGAAAGACCTGTTGCAAAATGTGCAATGGCCATCAGGGGGCAGACACTCAACACAGAAGCTGTCCCCAGTCCACAGGCCATGACTAGTGGTGGCACGGGGTGGGGAGGTGGGGGGGAGAGTAGGGCCAGCATGTCGGTGGTGTTAGGCCAGCCAAGGCGGGTACTAGCAGGGGGCCCCTCTGATTGCGTCCATCCATCCCCAGTCACTTCACAGATCAGCCTTGATCATCAGCAAGGCCTAGGGACTCTACCCATGCACAGATTTCATGCACCGGGCCTCTAGTTAACTACAACAATGAATATAGTCAGCTTTAAAAAATCATAGCAAAAACATCTCTAAAAATACTTGAAAATATCTTCCCTTGGCATTCATTGACGGTATTTTACATTCATCTTCATTTTTCTTACCAACCTCCTTTCATGTATTCACATCTGAAATTTCACCACAAACTGAATAAGTTTCAAATCTACTAGTATGCTTATAAAAAAAAAAAAAGAAAGAAAGAAAGAAAAAAACTACAGTATTTCTTTTTCTTTTTAATCATTGCTAGATTTTGTGTATGCTATCAAATTAGAAAATTATAACTTAACTAGAGGCTGGTAAACAAATTCATGCATGGGTGGGGTCCCTTGGCCTGCCTGGCAATGGAGACCTATAGGAGGGCTGGCCAGCCCAGGCCTCGCCCCCGATTGGGGAGAGTTAGAGGGAGTGGCCGAGGGAGGTTGGGAGGGGCCAATTGGGATGGATCAGACCGGTTGGCAGCTACAGTGTGCATCATAGTGAATTAGGATTCTCTTTTTGGTTATTTGGAGCCTGTATAAATGATGAATGAAAGTGGTCAAGTCACTACATGCTCAACAGATTTTTTCAGAGCTACACATTTTCATTTTGAGATCCAGGGTCTCAATTTTAAATACATAGATAAGGGAAAGTACTGCAAATACCATGCCACAATAAACACATATCTTTAATATGGTATTAATGGTATACCATAACCTATTGATTCAGAAATTTATATTTAATGGTAAGATGGGTCTGTTTATCTTCTCCTTTGTTCCAACATCTGATGTACATGGAGATTTTCTTGGTATAATAAAACAATATAGCTCCAGGTAAAGTGCTAATAACTCCCATATATTTTTTTTGGATGGCAAGGATATATTTTTACTGTCCATTCACAAATTGAGTAACATTTTCTTTGCTTTATGCAGTATGACATTTCTATAATTAATTTCTATACATTTTATATTAAAATATTTTATATATAGTCTTTTCTTTTGGAACATTAAGTATATAATTACTATAAAATTTATGACATTTGATCTTTTTTCTTTATAATTAGATTTCAAAAGAGGACCAGATAGTTTTAGCTTATTGGAGCATTAGGAATGAATGAACCATTACATGTTTTCGTACAAAGCAGTAATTCCAGGATGCATAGACATTTCCTTCCAAAGCATTTCACTGACTTCTATGAATGACCTACCTATGACATATTATTTAAGTAATTCAGTACTTTTGCAACAGCTGGTCTTGAGGATTACTAAGAAAAACAGAACTATACCACCATTCTTATTAACAGTTCATATAAAATATTTTTATTTGTACAAAAAGCCACTTGGGATTTTTGGACAGATAATGCTGTGCTTCAATAAATGAAGCAAGTCACCAAACTGATTGTATTCACAAGTCAGAGAAGAAATAGAGTTTAGAGCTCACTAGAATTGGATCATTTTCTTTTATCTAGTAAATTTCAAGTCATATGACCTTAAAAGTACAATTTTATTTTTAAAGCAAATAATGACTACCTAAAATGTATTTTATCATTTTATAATATATAACATATTTAATGTATTATATTAATATATGAATGTATAATATATTATATAATAAAAGGCTAATATACAAATGGACCATCAGTCAAACTTACAAGATGGCTGCCCCCATGTGTACTCAAGATGGCTGCCACAAGATAGCTGGCAACGGAGGGCAGTGGGGGTCAATCAGGCCAGCAGGGGAGGGCAGTTAGGAGGGACCAGGCCTAAAAGGGAGGGCAATTGGGAGTGATCAGGCCTGCAGGAGAGAACAGTTAGGGAGGGGTGACTAGACCAGCAGAGGAGGACAGTTGGGGGGGACCCAGGCCTGCAGGGGAGGGCAGGTAAGGGCAACAAGGCCTTCAGGGAAGCACAGTTGGGGGTGACTAGGCTGGCACGGGAGTACTGTTAGGGGCAATCAGGCTGGCAGGGAAGCAGTTAGGTGTCAATCAGGCTGGCAGCAGAATGGTTAGAGGCAATCAGGCAGGCAGGCGAGTGGTTGGGAGCAAGCAGTCCTGGATTGTGAGAGGGATCCCAGATTGGAGATTGGAGTGGGTGCAGGCTGGGCTGAGGGACACCCCTCCCCCCCCCATTCACAAATTTCATGCACTGGGCCTCTATATATATTATAGAGAATAATATATATTAATTGAAAAATAGCTTGACTTCCTGGAAACCAGTAGTCAATTACCAGGAATTATCTGCTTCTAAAAGTTTCCTAATTTGTGATATAAATGGATAAAATTAGACAAATCAATTTCTAAAGACTAATACTTTTGATATAAAAAACAAAACAAAACAACAATCCTTTCTTATTAAAATCCAAGATGGAAAGACCTTCAAGATGATCTAGAATCACTTACTGGTTCAAAGTGTCCAGTCATTTTGATAGTGGATGGTCTCCTCTCTTAACTTCTGGTTCAAGGGACAGTCTGCACAGCCTAAAAGTGTCTGTAAAATAAAGATGTGACTATTCTTAGATTGTCTGTTAGTCATAGGTATTAGGGTGCCAAAACTAGCACTTAATTAATGCAGTGATGGAATACCAAGAAGAGAATAAACTATGATAAAGAACATTCTGTGCAAAAAGCATACAATAACTTACTGAATAGTCAATGAATCAAAAAATGTCCAGCCCAGCTGGTGTGGCTCAGTGGTTGAGCTTCAACCAGAAGGTCATGGTTTGATTCCCAGTCAGGGCACATGCCCAGGTTGCAGGCTTGATCCTCAGTGTGGGGCATGCAGGAGTCAGCCAATCAATGATTCTCTCTCATCATTAAATTTCTATCTCTTCCTTGTTGATATATATATATATATATATATATATATATATATATATATATATATATCCCACACAATATTTATTATACGCATGTACTGAGGTTCGTTCAGTTTTTAATAACCTATCATAAAGCACCCCACACCAAAATGCCTTTATTATAGACAACATCACTTTAGTATATACATATATGACAAGATTCTTTTATGGTCATCAAAAACCACAAACATTCGGATATTCTCTCTCTCCCCCTCTCTCTTCCTCTCACCTTCCATGGTAGGGGGAAGAATGGAGAGAGAGAGAGAATAAGTGAAAGAGAGAGGGGGGAGGGAGAGAGAGAATGAGAGATTCAGATAGAGATTTAAAAGCCTATGGCTAAAGAATTCTATTCTAACAAAACATGAAGTAAAGAACTAAACTCCAAATGAAATACTGCATCAGCATAAAATGCTTGCCGGCTACAGACCCACTGCCTTATAAAGTGCTGCCTCACTTGGCACCTAAAGCTCATGTCACTCATTTAGCTTACTTTATAGTATGTTGGTTTTGGATTTGAAAAGATTAGAATGAGTACAGATGGAAAGTGTTTTTACAGTAGGGAAGTAATTAAATTGGGTGTGGAGACTTTGTCAGGAAAATTCTTGGAATGACATATGTGTATCAGCAAATTCTTTGTCTTGCTTGGCCTTAATTCTTTCTTGAGAAAGAAATGCTTGAGCTGCAGATGTGACGGTAGATGTGGAGAAAGAGAATTTACAAACCCATTCAATGTTAGTAAGGTAAAAATGTCTTCTTAGACATAACATTGTGTGGACACACTGAAAGTCAAACTTTAGGGAGAGTATTTTCTCAGGTTCCTAAAACTATTGAACTTAATGTCATATGAAAAGGTCTATAATGTGCTGCATATAAATGTTTCTTTATTTGTTTACTTATTTGTTTACTTTTCTCTGTGTTGTTTGCCATATGCAGAATATCATATTGTTGGCCTTTGTTCCTAAAAGTATTAACCATAAAATACTTAACTATACCTTAAAATTGTTTGTTACTAGGTAGACCATCATACAACATAGACTGAAATATCTTATGCTGATTTTGTCTATATTCATGGTGTTATTGGTGTAGATGTGTGCCTCCTTTGAGTCATCACTGAAAATATATTGATTTTGTTTAATTTTACTGTAAGAGACAGTTCCTAGACAAGTGAAGTTAATAGCAGATGACTCTTTGCACCCCATATTTTTTGTATTATTTTGCTTTCAGTCCTTTTTATTTCTGATATCAGGTGAGGAAATAGTTTATTTTATTCTTTAAATAATCTTAGAGTGCTTATTTGTTAAAATAATTTCCATAGTATTAGAATGATTTCTTTGGTGATCTTATTTGATGAAGTTGTGTTATTCTTTACTTTTTTTTTTTCCTTTTGGGGCCACCAATTAGTAGAGCAATTTCCCCAAGATGAGATCAAGAATATAGACAGAAAATAAAACTCAAGTCAGACAATTTTTGTTTTAAACTCAGTCTGTTAAT